CATTGTCGATATAGACAGCGTATCTTTTCAAAATGATTCATTGTTATTATTCGATTGATATATTTTTTGCGAATGGAAATATTCGAAGTTTGTAAACTTGACCTAATTCATTAAAAAAATTGGTAGCCTATTGCTTCTTCTATATAGATGTATGATATAATAGAGCATACATACACCTGTCTATTTGCTCAAATTCAATCCGATGATGAACGAAGAAAAAAAAAAGCCGAGAAAGAAAGAAGTATATGGCTTTTGTTCTAAATAGAATTCACATATTTTATCGATTTTATTTTTAAATAATCCATTACAAAATAGTTTTTCTTTTTCTAATAATTAATCAATGTCATTATCATGTTCTATTTCTTTATATACATATATAATACAAGGTAATAGAAATAATATTTCTTTTCTTTTCTTCATCTATATACATATCTAATTGATAGAGACAATTATTAAGGTTTCTCTATTTTTCAATCATTTAATATGAAGCACAAAAAAGACAATATTAAAAATAAACAAAATTGATTTCAATTTTCTTTTTTTTTCGCAATATTATATTTAACTTGCTCTTATGTAATATTATTAAAGGCTCAATCCACTATTGTATATGTTGCGCATATAGTGCGAGAATGAAAAGTGTATACACATTAAGTTTTTTTTCTCTCTCTCTCTGTCTCTCTGTCTCTCTCTCTCTCTTCGTTCTGGTGCATCGAATGTTGAGCGATGCATTTTGAGGTGGTATATACATATATATATGATTGTCAAACGTTACTACTGTTTCTTAAACGTTATATGAATTTTTACCTGGTATAAAATTTTCATTAAAATATATATATATATATATATATTTTGAGAAGATTTATTTTCTTCTCATTATTTAAAAACGAAAAATGTTATCTTATTATCAACAATATGAAGAACAAAAACTTCATTGTCAAATGGAATCGATTTATAAACAAAACTCTTTTTATAATAATAATAATAATAATAATAAAGAGTATTTTATATCGTCATCATCATCATCAATGTTGATGTCAACAAAAAATAAATTAACATCGAAAAAGATGAGTAATTCAAATGATGATTCTTCATCATTTTGTCATGCTATGTACATAACAGTTAAAAAACGTCGTACTACATCTCCATCTCATCAATCATTTGAAGATTCTCAATGTCTTCAATTACCTTATATTTGTTCGACTATATTAGCGAGTAAGTTGTAAGATATCCATAATATTATTATCTGTTATTATATTAGATTTCTTTCACATATAGATATTATTAGTTCAATTACATCATCATCATCATCATCATAGATAGAAATTCTTGTTTAGTTCATTATAACGTCATGTCAAATTGATATGACAAATGAATATTTTTGTATCATATAAAGGTCGAATATGAGTATAGAAATAATTAGAAAGTTTTAATTATTTAAATGAAAGAATATTGAGATATCGATTCAATTAGAATCCTATATATAAAATATTTCATTTTGTTATATACATCATCATCGTCTCGTTTGAATGATCAATCATGTAATTTGAAACAAATCATAATTTTCTCTTTCTTTCTCGCGTTATGTGTTACAATGAAAGACAGCTCGAAGGTAATTTTTCACACCAGGCAAGTGACTATAAATATTTTGATAGGCAAGTATATAAAGCCTTTTGTATTTATCTATCAAGGCTTCCTATATGACTTGCATATATATATATTTAAATATATGAGCATATACGTATATATAGTGTCGTAATTATTCTGACCTTGTTCTATGTTATGTTTATATTTATATTTTTATGAATAAGTAATGGAAGGTTTAAAAAAGTGAGTGGTAAAGTTAAATGCAATCATAAAGAAAAGAATCAATGATCGACCCTGAAGCAATCGAGATGGCGACAACTGATAGGAAAATATATAGCATCAAAAAAAAAGTCAATTAATAGTGAGAAATATAAACAGTATGATTTTTATAGAATTAAACAATAGTTCAATATTCTTTTTTTTTTCTTTCCAATCATTGTTCGTTACAATTGTTTTTTTTTTGTTAGAATTCATAAGACTTGAGAAATCTATTCATCTATTTTAACATGCATCAAAACAAACGACAACAAAGAAAATATGGTAAAACACAAAAAAAAAACGTGCATAGTATCAACGAGTCAAACAATAGGAAAATTCAATTAGTTGACTTCTTTTTCAATTATAGATTTTCTATGGCTTCATGCTTTATGTTATTTTTTAAATCTTGTCTATATATTAAAATCAATTTTTGATCTTATGAGTTGATCTCTTAAAAATCATATTAGTATTCGTTTTTCTTGATGATTTATCAAAACTAAATCGTACGATTTATTTGTTTTTATTATATTATAAGTTGTTACTCGTTTACATACATACATACATACATGGTCATAGACATTTAATTTATATGAGTTTTAAATAAAAATAAAAATAAAAAAGAAAGGCTTCAAAATCAAGGTGAAATATTTGTAAATATAGATAGAGATCATAACAAATATTTCAAGGTTAAAATATAATTTGATTTTAATCCTTTTTTTTTTCTTTTTCTAGCTTCAAATTCACCTACAACGAATTCTCTTTTGACTACTACTTTTACTGAACCAAATAATTCTATTATTAAATCAACAAATTTTACAAATTCAATACCAATATCTCGAGCTGAAATACGTCATAAAAGTGAAATTGAAATAGAAGTTAAACACGACAAACAACAACAACAACAACAACAACAATTAAACCATACAATTAAGAATAGTATTTCGCCAATACCAAATTCATCGTATCCAACAGTAGTACGACCAACACCATTAACAAATAAACAAACATCAATAATAAATTCTGATGAAAATTCTTTATCATCACAATATCAAATACCAAAACGTCGTATTTTAACAAATTCAATACAAACTCAAACATTACCATTATTATTAAATCAATCAGATCATCAAATACAACAACAAAAATTTAAAGCATTAACTGATGAAACATTATCAAAAAATGAAAAAATTCAAGCACTTCTACGTGAACTCACCGATTATCAGGTGAGAGTTTACGATATGTAGCTTTTCTTTTGTCACATGAACACGTACACTACTACAAGTGTTAATCTTTATTTCTTATTCTCTTCTTTCAATCCTTTTTATATGTACTATATAGGTAACAATCAAACAGCAGGAACAACAATTGGTGAACGGCAAGAAGGACCGCGATCAATTGTGCTTTATTGTCGATGAGCGTACGAACGAATTACGTAATCTGAAGCAAAAGAATGAACAATTGGAGCAAATGATAAGAAATGGTAAATAATGCAACACACACACACACACACATCCATATGTATATAAAAGGAAGACACATACATATACCATGCGAATAAGGTTTTACGATAAATGATTGCATTTTCTTTTTTTTTATTTAGAACAAGAACATAGTAACAACGGAAAGAAACTTATTTCTCTATTACAAGAATCTCAAGAAGAACGAGACGAATTATTAAATAAAAAGGTATAATAAAATATTAGATTTTAAATTACAAAAAAATTATTTTATTTTATTTAAGCAACAAACTTATGAACGTATACAAAAATTAGAAGAACAAATAAAAATTTATGAAAGTGATGCAACAAAAATGCGTGATCAAATATTATGTTCAAAAATAAAATTAGATAAAAAAATTGATGAAAATCAATGTTTAACAAATAAATTAACTGATATGAGTAAATTTTGTGATCGTCTTGAACAAGAAAATCAAAAATTAAAATTACAAATTGAACATGAACAAAAAAAGGTTAAACATTAAAAAAAAAAAGTTAATATTTTTCTTTATATTACTTCTTTTTTTTTTTTTTGTATGTCATTTTAAGATTGACGAATGTACAAAATTAAAAACATTTGTTGATATTGAATTACAAAATACTCTTGATAAAATTCGTAATGAACGATATGAACATGAAACAAAAGTAACTACATTAGATGATGCATTAAAATATGCTCAAAAACAATATCAAACATTACAACAAAATCAACATATTATTGAAGATAAACATAAAAAAGAAATTCATGAATTAAAACATCATATTCATGAATTAGAAATTAAAATAGAAGAAGTTATTAAAGATAAAGCATTAGTATCAATACGTTGTGGAGAATTAATCGAAGAAAATCGTAAATTAGAAAAAACTTTAAATGAAAAAGAAGATGATTATGAAGAAAAAATTAATTCCTATAGAGAAAAAAATTCTCTTTTATCAACACAAATTGAAGATTTAGAAAAAAAATTAATTGAAACAAAAAAACAACTTGAATTAATAACAATTGAAAAAGATGAAACTTTAGCTGATATGTTAATTGCTGTACGTGTTGCAAGTGAAATGAGATATGGTATGTTATTTTTTATAAAACAAAAACAATAACAAAAAAAAAGGATTAATCAAATATATTTTTATTCAATTTAGATGCAGAAGATCGTTTAAATAAAGTTAATGATGATCTCAAACGAGTTACAGAACATATTGAACAAGAACGTGCACTTAATAAAGAAGTTCAACGAAGACAGGTTCATTTTTTTTCTTCTTGTAATTTCATTTGAATTAATTTCCAAGCAAGAGCAGGCATTGTATGGGCGTCACGTCCTACGTACCCTCATTAGTCACGCACTCTGAGTCATAACCATAATTAGCATGTTTTAATCAGAAACTTGAAAGGTGTATGTACTAATCTTGTATAGAGATTTGTGAGAATGAGCGTTTTTAGTATTGTTTTCATGGATTGAAACTTAGCTTAAAGCTATTGAAGAGCAAATCGGTTTTGACTTGTTAAAGTTTGCTGAGATGCTTTCAGTATGATACTCGATAAGAATCAAAATATTCTAATGTCATGGTCAAAAAGAGATGAATTTCTATGAATGATTTTGGTTTAGTTGTGTACCGAATTCTTTTTTTTTTGACTCCTAATCATATTCATGACAGATCTGCATTCCATGTGATAAGGATCACTGTTAAACATTTTCGAGATTTTTGCATACGGTTAAGTATGATGAAAATATTTTTCTTGAAACGGACAAAGCCAATTGTCTGTTTCTTTTAACTTTGAAACACAGCTATGAGTGTTAGAAATAATAAAAAGTCTATAAATTAACTCTCTAACGAAGTTTGCTTCATCATTTGCCTATAAATACATCTCGATAAAGTAGGAAAAACCTAAGAAAGATTCGTCTATATAGATATTCTTTCTCGAGCCATGACGATTTTATTGACTTTTTGATTAATTACAAGATATTTCGCACAGATTTGCATAACATAGTTTTGGTCAGATATTTTATCCGTAGATAAATCTCAAAGTCACTTAGATATTCTAAAAGCTTCAGCTGAAATACATGTATCCTTCTTGAGGAAGCTTGAGATTTATCTATGAACAAAATATTCGATCAAAACTATTTCATTCAAATCTTCCCCGAATATCTCGTAGTGTTCAAAAACTCAATAAACGATCATCACTCGAAAAAGAATGTCTAAACGAACAAATCCTTTTCAAATTTTTCTAATTTCATCGAAGTCTAATTATGGTCAAATGATGAAAATAAAAACATATGAAAAATTTAGATATATTTTCCAATTTGAAATCGAAATAAATCGATGCTGATAATAAAAAAAAGAATTTTCAATTGAATAAAAAATAGTTTTAAATGAAAATTTTGTACAGAACTGTCCGTACTTATTGTAAACAAAAAAATTTTCAAGAGATAATCGTGTTTGTTCTAGCCGTTATAAGAAATATTTTAACTTTGATTCTCATTCTCATCATAAAAGACTGTCTCCGACAGGAGCATATTCCTTAGTAAAAGTAGTTGCTCTTCTCCCCACCTATGAAATGATACTATTCTTGATGATATTGAGCTGATATATTGAGTGCATGCATGTGACAATTAACCTTGACCGCAAGCGCCAACATGTTTTTCATAGGTTCACATGTACTGCAGTTATGATTCAGACATCATTTTGTTCTTATGATTACCTTATCTTAATCATGTTGGCATAAATATTTTTGTCCAATTCTTCATTCGAAAGCCTAATGTCGTAACTATCTCTAATTCAAAGAAAAAATATTTTCAGTGCATATTTCCGTTGAATATGTTGTTTACAAGGGAAAGAAGTAAAAGTAAACATAAGAATAGTAACATTTCATAAGAGCGAGGATATACTTTTTTCTAGAATTATATTTCTAATAATTTACAAAATAAAAATTTGTTTCACGGAAAATATTTTTCAAATGTTGTATTTAGATGCAATTACCACCAATAAATCGGAATGGTAATGGATTCTGTGGTAAACAAATATTTTTGTTTTTTTTCTAAATTAACATTCGAATTTTCATTTATAGAAAGTGGTCATGTAAGAATAAAAGAAATGATTCGAACATTAGAAGCTAATTCTCGAAAAAGTAGTAATAATTTATTTACAAAAAAAATAAAAAAAAAACTCATTATCTAATTTATTGTCCTATTAAGATTCATTCAATACATTGAATAATCACATGGATTCTATAAGTCGTCAACGTCCATTATCTCAACCATGTACACGCACAGAAACTAATGCTATATTAACAAATAATCATAATCGACAATTTGGTACAACAACTGATGATGCAAAAATTTTATCATCAACAAAAAATAATTCTCCATCATTTAATAATAGTCATCGATCTGATATATCAATTCGATCAATAACAAAGTAAAAATATTATAGATTATATTAAAATATTTTTATCTATTTATTTTAGTGAACAATATGATGAAATGAAATCAATAATTGAAGCTGTTTTTGCTCGAATGCCTGGAACAGTTTGTAAACGTGATGCTTTATTAAAATGGTGTGTAGAAAAATTAACAAATTATGTAAGTAATTATATATTCATTAATTTTACAAATGAAATTTTTCAAATTAATTAAATAGAAAATATCAATAACAAATTTTTCAAATTCTTGGACAGATGGTATTGCATTTTGTTCATTGTTACATTCATATTTACCTGATCGTATTGATCTTGATATGATTAAAAAAGAATCAAAAGTATAATTAAACAAATAATAAAATACAATTCTAATGATTTATGTTTTTTTTTTCTTTTTTTTTTATAGAAAAATCGTTTTGAAATTGCTTTTAATATTGCTAGTAGTATTGGAATTGTATCTATATTAGTAAGTCAATCGAAAAAAACAAAAAAAAACCAACACACCTTTTGATTTTATTCTTATTTGTTAGGATGTTGATGAAATGTGTTCATCAGAATGGCCTGATTGGGAACGTGTTATGTATTATGTTGCATTAATATTTCGTCATTTCGAATGTTCAACATCAAATCAAACAATTTCACCAATATTACCAATTCCACAAGCATCATCATCACCAATGTCACCAACATTTACAACTTCATCATCATCACCTATATGTATATCATTACGATCATCAAATTCAATTCCAACAATACTTTGTTCACCATTACAAACTGTATAATGAAGAAAAGTTTTTCGTTTTTCGTTTGTTTTGTTTTAAAATCTACATAGTAGAATACATTCCAGAATTGATTTCTTGTTTGTTTGTTTGTTTTTTATTATGTTTGTATACATGAATTGATGTTTTACTTTTATTGCATGATATGATATATGTTTTATTATAAGGGAAAAGCAAATGTAGTTTTTTTTCTTTTTATTTGTTTATTTGCTTTTTTTTCTTTTCTTTTCTTTTCTTATATTATTATGATGATGGTTAGAGATACATTTGAAGATGATTTATTTTTGTTTGGTCTTCTAACATGATTTTTCTTTTATTTAATATATATATATATATATATGAATATAAATGAGAAATCTTATGTGATAATTCGATGAAAATTACCAGAAAGGAAAGGCAATGTTTTGCTTATTTGGGTATAAGATTGTTTTCTTTTGGCTCTTCCGATAGATGTAGATAGGAAAGGACTATTTATAGCATTATTGAATTAGAATAATCGATGTAGATTCAAAAGATAATATAAAGGTGATTTCGTAGACGTGTGAAATTCATCATCTGTTTACAAATATTAGTAAATGAGAACGAAATGAAAGAAATTTTAGAAAGAGAACATGTTTTATGCTCAATCACTTAATTATACAGCAGCTCATAAATAACTAGTCGATACAAAAACACTCAATATCTCCAGTCTATGTTAATCAATCAAGTTGATGTTTTTTCAATGGTAATAGAACACTCGTCAAAGTTTTTATTTATAAGAAAAATATCAAATAGATACTGGATAGAACTAGCATTCTTAGAATTAGATATGTAAAAATTTTAGCATATATACTAACTTAGAAATGTAGGCTAGTGACATCAATCCAGTCCTGTTTACTTGAGATTAAGAGAATTTATGAGAATTCTTCTCGCTGTAAGTCAAGAAGGGAAGAAATTTATGACCCAGTGAACCTATGACTATGTAGTTCTTCAATACAGCTATTCATATTATAAATTTCATCGCGTTTTATCTAACAAGAGAAGATCTCCAAGTGATGACTCGATATTTCAGCTGAAACTGTGTGGGTTTGCTACATCAAGTACTCTGATGTCAAGTATGAAATGATTATCAGCTGAGATCGATCCGATAAAAAGTTGTAGTCAAAACATTTTTCTACCATTTGATGCATATGTACAGCTACATACTTCTTCTAGAATATTGTACTTGTGTCTAGAAATATTGTCTAATGGTAGATATAGCAAAGACATATATGAAGTGGGATTCTTTCCTACAAGTATTATAGTATGACATCACTCAATACGTTGTATTCCATCTAGTCTTTTTCAGTTCTGTTGACATGCATTCATTCGTACACGTCTTTTCTCTATTCTAGTGTGGTATGGTTGGTCTTCAACAGATTATTTATCGAAAGGTCTTGCTTTTTTTGAGAGTGTACGGAATATGTGTTTTTCTTTCGATGAAGATTTCTATTCTTCGTCCACCTATAGTAACTATTCTTTTATTTCTTCTAGTTATTCTGATCTTGTACTTTGTTTCAATTATTTTTTTTTCATTGACAATCATAAGCATTGAAATTAATGTTTTTGTTTATCACATCAAAAGAATCTATCTTTTATACACATATAGCATGATGTCATACTGTAATACTCGTAGGAAAGAATTTCATTCCATATATGTCTTTGCTATGTCTACCATTAGACAATATTTCTAGATATAAATACGATACTCTAGGAAGAGTATGTAGCTGTACACGTGCATCAGATAATGAAAAATATTTTGACTATAACTTTTTATTAGATCGATCTCAGTCGATAATTGTTTCATATTTGGCATTAGAGTACTTGATGTAGCAAATCTATGCAGTTACAGCTAAAATCTCGTGCCATAACTTGAAAACTTTCCATCGTTTAGACGAAATGATTTTTCGAAAATAATTTCTACTAAACGATAAAGAAGCAGTGGTCAAAGACATTATACTATTAGGTAATTATTAGTAGAACTTGAGTAATTTTCTCTTATGTAATAAAACAGATCTGCCATTGAATATACTAATACAGATAAACAAATCGATTTTTTTTTCGAAAGTTTTTCTTCAATGTATTCAAAATAATGGTAGCCAAACACATCAACAATAACAACAAAAAAAAAGAACTAAAAGTTGATCATTTGCCATTCTTTTTTTTTTTTTTTGGTGCTTTGTTTCATACATGAAACATGATTGTATGCAGATGTACTAAATATTAGACCAGGAGTAGAATCTGTTTCAATATAGATGAATAGCAATGTTAAGAGTACATGATGATATTTTAACCTAAGAAAAGAAAAAGAACAGCAATGTCGGACTTTTCGTTTTCTTTTTTTATGAAGTATATGTACGTTGCTTCTTTCAATGATTATTCTAATAACAAAAAGAAAAAATTACCTATATCGATACATATAGAGACTGTTTGAAGTCTTCAATTGATAATTCTGTTACTTGTTAAATATACAATGTCAATGCTTAATACAATTTTTGACTCATTTTATCATTCTTGTTCTCTTTCTGTTCGCTTTGTATATTTATTTTAAAAATTAAAAAAAAAACGAAAAAGAAAAAAAAAAAAGACAAAAGAAAGAATCGTATGATGACTTAGAAATTATTTCTATATAATATAATGCATCGTTTGGCTCGACATGAAACAGAAATAGCAGCTGTTGCTTATCCCAATTCTATTGGCAATCAACAGAGAAGTAGAAATTATTTAGAATATTTTTAATGTTAATTTAATAATTAATTTTATTCTCTATTTCAAGACACGTATATAAATGACCCAAAAAATGTACGTGAATATATATTTACTTATCATACATTGCTGATTCCGGTCAGCTATAGACTGACCCGGATTCTTCTTTCTCTTTTTATATTGCGTCGCATAAACAGAACATATCCTTGCGTGTTCTCTTCTACTCTCGGTATATGTTAACAATACCGAAATAGCATTCGATAGAGAAAAGAGAAGGAAGAGAGAGAGACAGAGACAGACATAGAGCAAAAATCTATATTTCTCTTGTCTTTCACACATTAGCAATGCAAAGAGAAGGGGACAGAGAAAAAAAACGACAAATCATTGTCGACATATGTACCTATATTTTTTTTGTTTGTAGACGATAATGGCGAATATGAATGTTCACAATACAACACCTAGTTATATGACTCCTAGTCATCCTCAACATGTTAGTTATGGTCAACCATTACCACCACCCATTCCTGAAAGTCGTATTGATAAAGCTTATGTTACATCAATTCGTGGCATTCTCAAATTTGCTTGTTTGGTAAATAAATTCAATAGAGAATAGTTTTTCATTTTGAATATAACTTCACAAAAGAAATCGAATCCAACAGGTCAAGTATATCGACAAATAGTTCATGTGTTTATTTATTGAGATTAAGCTTACCACTTGAACATCGTATCATATAATATCCATAGTTACTCAAATTAATAATAAAACATATATATATATATATATTATTTAAAATTTATTTTCTAGTTATTTAGTTTTATTGCATTTATTTGTATAACATCAACATCACAATGTAATGGTAATCATGCATTTTTGGCTTCAGTTACATGGCTTGTTATTATAATGCAAGTTATAATTATAGTTGTTTTTCTTTTTCGACTTAAAACAAGATTTACTGGTATTGATTTTGACTTTTTGGTAAGTAAAAAGAAAAAGAATAATATCGATTGATTATTTGACGCGTCAATAGTTAAATATAACAGACAACATTATGATGATATGTGTATTGTTTACAATACACATAGGAAACATTATCATTTTGAGTCAATAGAAAAACAATAACTTCCGTGTTGACATATGTTTTTTAAAGATTGTCATAGAATGATTATATCATTTTTTGTTTGTAGGATTTTTTTGCAACAGCTCATGATGCACTTTATCTTTTGGTAAAGATTTGATTTCTTTTTTCTTTTTTTGTTTATGAAAAAGAAAAAGATTTAATCTATATTTTTATTATATATTAGATTGCATCAAGTGTAACAATTCATTATTGTCGAATTCCTGGTCAAGTTGCTGGTGGAGTAAGTGTTCTAAAATAATGGGTTTTTTTCTTTTTAAAGTTTATATTTTATTTAAATTTAGGTAATGGGAATTTTTGCATTTATATTTTTGGCTGCTGATGCTGTAACTATTTTCTTAGCTCGACGAGATGAACCAGTACCCAATATAAATAACAATGATCTTCGATAATCGATCAATAATACATTAAATTCATATACTAAATATTCCATGAAATAAAAATTCTAAAAGCAATCGATTTATATTATATCCTTTCAGAATGGAGAATTTTCTTTTGGCAATTTTAGACATTGCCTAAAGTCCAAATTTTTATATAGAATTGTACTTTTTTTCTATCAAAGAGAAGACTGAATCTCTTGGCTTTTTTTGTTTTTGTTTTTGTTTTCTGTTTATTGGTATTGATATAGTTACTTCTGTTTCTTTGTCTTTTTTTCTTTAATAAAATACATGAATGAATGCATAATCTGTACTTCACGAAAAATAGAAAGTTAAAAAAAAGAAAAGTGAAACGAATGATAAGAAATCAATTTTGTATATTATATTCATTCTCAACTTTAATAAATAATTCTTATTTAGTTGTCAGTGTTGTTGACAGAAATAAATACTTATGTACAAAACGTCGTGCACGTTTGTTCACACTACCATCGGTTAGTTACCGACATAGCACATGTTATACTCAACAGTTTATTGGCGGCTTTTATCCGATTCGAATTACATGGATAACTAATTTTCTAGTTGTATCAAGGATTTAAGCTGATGATGTATGTTTTTGATTGAATAGTATCTTTGAGAGAGTAGTTAATCTTCATACTGAAATATTGCAATGAATCTGTTAAAGATTAAAGTAAGTTGATCGTTTTTTTTTTTTTCGATTTTCTAATTGTATATAATATATTTGGATGATTCATCGATTCGTACATATTCTAACTAATTCTTTATTGTTTTATCATCAGTTAGATATTGCTATTGTACTCGTTTGAAATATAGATATAAATCTCTTTATTTCCTATTTCTTATATAAATTAGCAAGAGTTCATCGTAATCTTCACTTTCAATTTGATTCAATAATCCAAGGTTAAGTGCGAACATTCACTTTATGGTAAAAAGAAAAATATTTACTCAAAAAGATTCTCTATGAACATCTTGTTACCTACGGTACTGTTGAAGTGCAATGAAAGAATCACAACCAGAGGTTTTTTCTTTCTTGTTCAAAAAGTTCCTCTGAAAGGTAAGTATGTATATTAATCATACTCCTTTACCTTCATATATTCTTACATAATACTTCTATTATACAGTAGACCCTTGCAACGTTTGTATAGTAATAAATCACTTTTTTTTCTGTTCTTTGTCAAAAAATGTTAGATCGTGAATTTCAATCGTTTTTCATGCAAAATAAAACTAAATTCATATTTTAACACATAATTGCAAAGTAGGGATCTTTAAAATGGTTCCGGTAAAACTTTTTCTTTCAAGTACGAAACTATATATTTGCACGTTTCGTATTCTGTTCTAATTAAAGCAATGTAAATCGATCATTGTGATTCACAACTCTATCAATAATTGATCAATTTCTTCTTTCGAACGTTCATTTATTTCCAATGGTTGTCTAACCGAGCCTTCTAAAGCACATTGTATTGTTTTGGTCATTATTTTAATAAATTCATTAAGTGTTAATTGTCCTTTTTGAAGCTTTTCAGAAAATGGCAAATTCATTTGAGCTAATTCAGCTTTGATTAATTGTAATGAACATCGATCGAACAATGCATGATCGATACATTCAGATAATGAACGGAAGGTATACAGGGATTATTAAGTCCGATAGCTCTTGTTCATTGAATAACAATTTTGCACATGTATAAACATGATCACAGTAGAGAACAGTCCATACTATTCCTTGATGATCAGTACTCGGAATATTAAGAATAAGAATGCCACCAGGTACAAGTTCTCGAGAACGATTCTCTATAAATGCATCAAAATCAAGTTTTGATTGATGTTTGAATGCTTCACGTTCTTTCTCGTTGGCAAATGTATAAAATAGATGATTGATGATAGTAAAAGATACTTTTGATAGTCAATTAATTGACGAAGATGAAAATCCAATCGAAAGACTATTTGATGGAAGACATTGTTCATAAAATGAACGACCAATAGCCACACCTTGATATGAATTATCTTTGGCAAGAAGTTGATAAAGTATTGTCCAATCATTTGTTGGAAGATCATTATGAACAATAAGTGGTGATGTGATGAGTTTATTTGTTTGTTGAAGATATTGAATAATAATTTTCATAGCTTCTATTGAATTTCATCCATGAGATGAACCAAAATCAGCAATAACTAAGGGTAAAGATGAAGATGAAATGTCTAAATGATCAATACCCAAATGAATATATGGTATCATGTAATTAACTACAGCCAATTGAGAAGAACGGTTTTCATTATACCCTGCAACCATATCAAGAGTTGCACCGGTGTTTGTAGCCATTTTTTATAATGAAGGAAAATACAACAAATGCAATTATAAATACTGATCGCATTGACGAGAGACAAATATTAGTTATGATATATAATTAGGAAGACAACGTTGGATTGGAACTTGAAAAAACAACAACAGTTGCTTGTTTCCTAAATAAAACCAAGGCCATTTGGATATTATATTTAAATTAAATGCTTTTTGATGTTCGTTAAACTTAAAATGTGTAGTTGGTTCTACTCCAGATACTCGAACAACAATATCACAAACGAGCTCTCGTAAATGTGGTCAACCATCATCACAATTATCATCAATTCAAAAGACAAAAAAAAACGTCGTACTTAAAAATATGATTCTTCGCTTTTTCAGATTTGTGTTCGTTTTCTTTTTGTATTTGTCGTTTTTAATTTTTAGTGAAACAAACTTTTAATGTGTACACTTCTTTCTCTTGAAGTTTCAAAAGCACTTGTTCTTCTTTTTTACTAATGATCATCTGGAGATTCACACATCTCAGGTGATTTCTGAAGGGTAGTAACTGTATTTTTATAAAGAAGTGTAACATTTATTTCTATCAATTATTATCTATTTTATCATATATTTTCCTATTTTGATCCATTCAATTTATTTTATTTGTTTTTTCTAAGTGTTATCTAGTGAAAAGTATTGAAAATTGATATAATAACATCAGCATTCACATCAGATTAAAGCAACACAAAATACTAAACGAGTATGGAAATACTGAGAAGTATGAAAAACTACTAAAAAGTACCTTAAAGTCTCAAAAAGTATGAAAAGTACCGAAGAGTACCGAAAAAGTACGAAAAGTACTGAAAAATACCGAAAAGTACCACCGAGTACAAAGAAGTACAGAAGTCTGCTTCCCCTCCCCCCCTCTTGATATTACTTCTTCAAAATCGAAAACAAAGTAATGATAATAATGGCTAAATCGATGAGCTAAATAACAATGAGAATATCAGGGTAAGCTGGAATTTCGCCACCTGAATTAGGACAATTTATCCAATTTCTACTGAACTTTTGACAATAAAAGGATATCATGAATTCCGGCGAGAAATCAGACAAGTGATCGGAATTCAGGTGGTGAAATCTCAACTGTCTAAAGTCCCTACCACCAGTCTGTGGGTAAGTGTAGGTGTCATAGACTGAAATCGAATCCAATTCAATCCGCACAAAGCTTTTCTTACCGTTTTGATCTCTCGTGCGTGTCGATATCGTTCTGAGGTGTGGATAGGATTGTGGTTGTATGTGTCAGTTGGTTCGATAGAGAATATGCTCACCACACCCACACAGGCAAGCCTTTCGCACCGATATTCACACTCTGAGCTTTGTCAAGATGTCATCTAGTTTTAGCTAATGACAAGACATAAGGTCGTTTGAAATTGAAGAAGAAAGCAAAATGACATAATTGAGAAAAGTTAGAGCAGTTCGTTCTCAGGAATACAAATAGACAGGAAAGGAGTTAACCATTTTGTTTGTTTTTTCTGATAATAGACATTGAAATGAATACGTCGACGGTTGTAAACAGAAAATGAATATACGGGGTATAAATGGCGTTCAACTAAAAATGGAATAGATCTAAATGTTTGTTGAATTCCATGAAAATGATTATATGATATGTTGTTTTTTGATTGAACATATATTCTTAATAGTTTTAGATTTTTCCATGATGATAAGAGTTGAAACCATTTTTGAGCATCCATAAATGATTGATTACGATTACCTGCTGAACAATCCAATTTTAAAGATTCAAGATTTGGAGTATATTACGAAAGTAACTCTAAATATTCTAATTTTGCTCTACGAATTTTTAAAGTTAATTTTGATAAATAGACTAATTCGTTGATAGGTTTGCAGCTTGTATTGTAATTCATGTCTTCACATGATAAATAAGCATTTAAATATCGGAGATTTGATGAATATTGAAGAACATGGGAATAAAAATAAGAAAATGACACACCGAATTTCGAATCAATATCCAGATATTCCAAATTAGATGATGTTTGCTTTTGATTTTCATGATAGTAAGGAACAACGAAATCTATTTGTCGATGCGATTGTGACATTTTAATTTGACAATATTTTAATTGTGGCATTGTCAGTATGAAATCAATTATAATTTCTTCACGTATATTTGTAGCATATTTGAATACTACTAATGAAAGAAGACATGAAAATTTATTTGGATTATCAAATTGTATCAAATGATAATCATAACATTTCAATGATTTCAATTATTGTAAACCAATAGCTGATGAAAGAGTATCAATGTCGTTTCGATCATCTATCAATGTCCAATGCAACAACAAATGATAATCACATAATAATTGATTAAAATATTGATTTAATTTTTAAAAATGATTGAATCAAATCATTGGCATTTAAATATTCAAATATTGAAATATGTAATTCACTACTTAGATCTTCGAATATTATTTTTCTTGACAATGACATCGGATAAAAATAACCGAAAACAAAGCAACTGAAATTCTGAACGGAATAAAAATAATGACTCAATAATTTTATTTATTGTTGATAAGAAAAGGTTGGAGAAAAATGCATCAGATGTCATAAGTTTTATTATTGATGGTGCAATTATATTTGCCTTATATGTTTTTCATTTGATGTAAACATTAAAAATTTGTTTATTTTGTATTTCGAAAGGAAATTGTCAAGAGTTAATTGCTGTTCATGATTTAGTTGGTTGAAACAAAACTCATCCACCATAAAGCAGTACCAATAGGTAACGCTCGTTATCAATTTGTCCAGAGAAATGAGTATAGAGTACTGTCTGTCATTTGGACCCCGCTTGATTAAACCAATGAAAATTTCTCAAATCAGTGACGACATTTACAATGATCGAAAAAACTTTTCATGAGGAGATAGAACAAATAGCTGAGTACGCTGCAACTATAAACTCTCAATCAATTCAAATGATGCAAAAAGTTAAAGGACAGACCATCAACATATGGAAAACAATGTGGTAGAATTTTCTCATGTCTTTATTAAATCCATCGACACACATCCGTGCATGAAGATTTAGTCTAGCATATTGCATGTTAGTATATTGTGAGAGTTAGAGAAAATATGTATCGTAATACGATGTTGTTTCGCGCTGATTTTGTTGAGGATGGACCGTGGGTGTGGTATGACTGTTAGTCAGGGTAAGTGGCTGTGGCCATGAGTCTGAATGTACATGTGGAGTATGGATGTGAAGGCGAAAAATGACTGATACTCACATCCATATCTATACCGTTCTATCGATATTCTTTGTACAACAGTGGAACATATGCGATGCTGTAGCTTCTCTAACTATTCTTGTTTTCTTTTGAAAGAAAAGTAAAAGTTGAAGAAAATTAGTTGTATATTGAGAATCCATGGTGCCCAATAGTAGTTATCACATTCTGTTGACAAATTTTATGCTGATGAACTTTTTCTTTCTTTTGTGACAAAAGAAAAGTAAACCTCAACAGAAGTGATAGTTCTAATGCAGGTCGTCGTTCGAACTTATCATTAGCCAAAAAAACAGAAATCCAAAAAGCAGAAGAAAAATGTTCATTGATGATTGCTACGCAAACTACCTAGCAAGAATCGATACACTGTCTTATGTTTGGAAGTAAGAGCTAACCGATTCATGCGCTCATATCGTTAACTAGATAGGTAGAATATGATTGATTTACAGATTTATGTCAAGAAATGGACGATCTTCAGAACAACTAGTCCAATGAAAATCAAATGAAATCAATCATCCAAAAAACGAATCAACAGTTCACTGATTTACTCTTACAAATGCTGCATGAAATTACAATTAATTGTATTGATTGTGATATACTCACGAAATATTCTTCAGTACTATTTATGCGGTCGAAAGTCGGCATTAGTGGAAAGTTGTCGATGGTTTAGTCGAATGTGGCTCGGGTAGCACAATTGGTTAGTGCATTGGTCTAATAAGCCAAAGGTTGTGAGTTCAAGTCTCATCTCGAGCATTTAGTGTACCTTTTTTTGTTATTCACAGCAATCTGTGAAAGAAAAACGAAAACGTTATTGCGCAAGTTACATAACTGACTCATCATTTATTATGAAAGAGAAAAAAAGAAAGCATAATAACAGCAAAAAACAGTTGAAAGTGATATTTTAGTCGAAAAAAAAATCGAGCCAGTACTTCGAATAATTGAATTTTATCGTAATGTAGTTCTCAAGATATCATTTCAATGGATGATCAACATGAACAAAACAGTGAAAAATATTTATTTGACTCCTCAATCTTCTCAAATGACTAATACGAAAAGACAACAGCATTCATAGATCGATCATTTCGATTTCAAAGCAGACCAATTCGAGTAAAACTTTGCTGTACTCTAATCTGTATCGTACCAGTCGACTGCAAATTCGACATTGAACTATATGGTATGTGTTGAGAAGAATTTTGAATGAGTTAATGAAAAATTATTTCGATCAGGAGCTGTCGATGGAGCACAGCTTGTTACGAGATTATATGGTGACGAATGAGAATCACCATATAATGAGATCTTAAACAGACAAAACCAACCAAAACCAACAGATCGATAAAATTCAAAGGAAGACACGCAGAAAATTGCTATCGGCTTGTTTTTGCAATTGGACGATCATTAAGATTCGTGGTAATTCCATGACTCTCAGTGAGCTACACACCATTAAAATACTTCATCATTTCGAAGCCAACAACGAGAGGTGTGGGTGTTCATATCTACATTCACTCTCATACTCGATGAATTGCCTTTTCTTTCAGTTGTATTAAAGATTATACTTTCGTTCAATATGAAATCACTAAAGAAAATTTTTGTTTGAAAGAACATGTCAAGAGAAAACATTTCTGCCTCTTTTGAGATGTCTTTGAACTCAAGCCAATGATCTGATATTGAGAAAAGTATAAAATACAAAGAGTACCCTAAAAATCCGATCTTTCGACTCAGTATCGAGAATCGTGTCACTTATATATCTGTGCATTTTTTACAAGCAAGTTAGATAAAGCTGATGTTTTGGATTTAGACATTTCTCATGATGGACTGTCATTTACGATAATAAAAACAAAAATCTGTTTTTTTATAGACAGTATATCGAATGTTTAACGTTTTTGATATAGTGCCCTACTGTTTTTTTAAATTGTTAAAAATGAATGATTTTGTAGAGCTTGAAAAGCTCCATTGAATGATGTATAAGAGAAATATCGACGTAATTATCTTTATATTAAAAAAAACAACATATAATTCTAATTGATATACGATATATATGAAATATAAAATCATAATGTAGGCAAAAGAGGATGCATAACTGATCTAACAAAAAATCAATATAAGATTCTAAATGTTCTTTTCAAGCAATTAGTGTCACAGTTAGAGAGTGTGATTGACTAAGTGATGGTTGATGATGCGGTAAGTCATAGACTCCGATGACAAGTAGAATCTTATGAAAATACATTGAATTTAGTATCACAATGTTCAGGAAGTCATAATCTGTCGGTTCATGTATCATTCAATTGGTTTTAGCGATGGAAATTAAAAGGGACCAAAATTCATTCTTATGTATCCCTCCCATCCTGAGTTGATAACTTGGTCTAGAATTACTAATATATTATATAAATAAGGATAAGACCGTCATCTTTTCAATAACGTCACAACCAAGTCTAGTACAAAACACAGTAATTTTTCAAAATCATAAGTACCTGATGTAGTTTACTTGTACTTGAGGTAATTTATATGCAAAACACTGTACATAAGATTTTGCTTCAAAAATTGATCCGTGTTTATTTAGCTGACGCTATTTATCAGCATTATTAGGAAATATCCTTAGAATCGTTACACCTAAATAAATCTGTTTTCATTGTTTTTAATAATGTATTCAGTTCAATGTTCTTTTTATTTCTCTGATTCTGACAAAGCGGCATGCAGTAGTTCTGTTGAGAAGTGAAAACTATAAATTCATATGGATGTGGGTGTACATGTATGTAAGTATGATTCTGTGTCTTCCTTTCACTCACATCCACAGTCACATTCACACATTTGTATTTATATCATTTTCTCTATGCATAAGAAACTCAAAGTCAAACGAAGCAAAGTTCAAGAATAGTTTTAATAATCAAGGATCCTCAAACAGACAATATTTGACTATCGTTATTTCTATTAAATTCTTTCATTTAGAATTGACGTCGATCTCTAGAAAGAGCAGTTTGATAGTGTTTCATAAATAGAAAAAAGATTTTTGTGTTTTTTTCTTATTCACGAATTATAAAGGCATCAGATGAAAATACTTTCTTTTACTCTGGTGAGTTATTCGATATATCTTTGTTGATTGTGTCAGAACAAAAAAAAAATTCATCTGTTTGAAGCCTTTCGTTTATATAGAAATGTCAACAGTTGGATTCGAAATAATAGAAAGAGTTACATAAACAACTTTTTCGTTTCTCTCTTCTACTTCAATCGGTTCTGTTGAATAAAAAAAAAAAACTTGGATACGAAAAGAAAAAAAGAAAACAAACATGCCATGTCATTCGTGTGGATTTGAAGTTGATTATTCTTTCACTTTTTTTAAAAATTCAATGCAACTTCTAGACATTTATACACAGGCATTGCTCGCATCTATCAAGAAGCTGGCTTCTATGTTGGTCTCATCTACACACAGGTTTTCTCATATGGAATTTTTAGAGCATAGACATACTATTAAAATAGCTGTTAGCACAAATTCTTCGAGATTAAAATTTGTATGAAACACAATCTAGCTGTTGTTGCTAATCACAGAGAGATTGTTCTATTCTATCTATTACTTAATCTTCTACATATGCGATAATAAACGAGTTCATATCAGAGATCCGACTGGGCTGAACTGGACCGAAGAAAGTCGATCCATAGATCATCGACTTTTCGCCCAGCCCACCCATAGGTAACCCATATAGTTAATCATTTTTTCATGAAATAGTTTAACTTGCTATGTTCGTCAAAGTGATTTATGATCGCTAACTATTCTTTTTTTTATCATTTTTAATAGCAGTGTACATCGAGAGATGTTTATTTTAGAAGAAGTTTGACCCGTTCAAATGCATACTGTTTTTGTCTATGATAGGAATTGGTAGCAATAGTGGAATGGTAGGTGATAATAGAAATTGATAATTGAGAAAGATCAGTAGGAATAAAAACAGGTTTAACAAAGGTAATTGATGGTCATGCAGTCATTGGTGAAAGAAAAGAACGATGCAAAGATACTTTTTTTGGAATAAATACAAAGCTTTATAACGTGAAATAAAAAACCTAAATGAGATATTTTGAGAGGAGAAAGATCAGTGATAATATGCGGCGTTTCCTGAGAAATTTTGTCTCATGGGCTATCGTTGACCCACAAGCCAAAGCTCGTAGCCCATGGGTACCCATCAAACAATCGGATCGGTCCAGCTCACCCATGGTTTTTGTGTCAAAAAAATTCGGTCCATGGGTGGGCTGGGCCAAGTCCAGCCCATTAGGATCTCTGGTTCATATATTATAGCGAAACTTTATTGATACACAGTCTGTGAGTGATTCAAATCTTTATCTCTATATTTCAACATTCCATTTAGTTCGTGTTTCACAAAAACCTATATCGAGACGCGCAATACTCTTCCCTGCAATAAAAAACGTTCAAATAGAGAACTTTTTCATACATCGTTCTTTTGTGTAGCACTCTGATTTCGAATGACCAATCTTCGAGACAAAGAATTTCGTTGTGCTACTTGAAACTATGAGGTATCATATCGATCCCTTGTAACTTCTATAACTCCAATCAGCTAGCTCTAAGAATGTTTCAGCTAATACTGTATTATTTGCCATCATCATATTTTGGAATCGATGAACAGTTCATTCTATTCACATTTTGGAAAAAAGTTAAATGATAACAAATTAGAAAATGCAATCAGGCAGAAACTGAGTTGAAAAGATTCGTGAGTTTTTTTTTTGTTGCATATCTGACGCTATATAAAAAGTAAAAATAATAACTATAATCGTTCTCGTACTTTGAACAAACGTAGCAGATATTAAAGAAAAATAATGTAAACATTTTCTGTAAAGAAAGTATCGAAGAGACTACAGCACGGTAGAACACATACAGCAACTTCTTAAAGTCTATTAAAAACCGATCAATTCCATGCAACATATGGAAATTGTAGTATTGCTGCTATAAATCCTTTGTTTTTGAGTATGTTGACAAAAGGAATTTGTCGTGTACCAACAAATGATATTGTTCACAACATCAAAATTTGATCTGTTTTCAGAAACTAAAGATGTATATATAAAATAAGATTTGTATTGTAGATTACAGAGCCTTTCATGCTGCATCTAGTGAGTATATTTTGTTCTTTAATAAAACATATAAGATGATTTTAAAAAATGCGAAATACGGTCGTTTATTCTGGTTTATTTGTTACTTCATGCAATTTTCAAATATCTGCATTCCAAATATCTATATTCTTTAAATGACTTGATTTTCTAGATCTTCTTGTGTATTTGGTAGAATTTGATCTTTCATAGCAACATAATACATTCGAACAATATCAAATCAGTTATGGCAGAAAAAATGATTTTACGGTAAATAGTTACAATAGTAGTTAGCAATTGTTAATTATAAGATTAACATTAACACTTATAGACGAGGATCATTCTTCGGCATTGGAAATCCTCTGTTGGATGTGAGTAAAGAAGTGGATGAGGATTTTTTGGAACGGTAAGATGTGTCAATATCCTTAAGAAGCTTTGTAACTCAATTATGACATATTGAAGATATAAACTCAAAGAGAATGAAGCAATCTTGGCTCGTGATGAACATGCACCACTGTGAGTTTGTAATGATCAAAAAATAGATGGACTTATTTTTCTTTTCAGTTTCCGAACGCTGAATAAACAGGGCCGTCTTGCAATTGGTGGCTCATCACAAAACGTCATGAGAACGATTCTGGTTAGTGTTAGCTTATTATCCTTAATAGATTCTAGAGAAAAAATTAAACATAATTCCTATAATATTGGTTTGTTTTACTTAAACATGACAAGTTCAGAACAAGATTTGAATTTCGCTTAGCTAAAGTCAGGACTTCTAATAATATTGAGATTGGTAGAATCCGAGTAGATGATACCTCAATCATTAGAAAATGATCCATTGGCTTCATGAAATAGATCAAATAGCAGGAGCTTTTGGTATCCATCTAATATTGTAATGCATAGGCAAAATCACTTTACCTTCAATCTTACGAGAGAAATCGTTTATAAAGAATGAGATCGAAAATCGTTACTTTTGAAGTTTCGGCATTACCCATCCAACTGAGTATCTATTCTCGAGTTCAATAGTCAACACAAGAATAAAAATAGACTACTACAAAAACTCAATGCAGATTAACTGACAACAGATCCAGATATGAATCTAAATTTGCGATTCGATTTTTCAGTGGTTTCTTCAACAAAAGCATATTGCTTCTTATATGGGATGTGTCGGTGATGATTTTGAAAAGCAGAATTTAATGCAATTGGCTGAATCCGCAGGTCTTGACGTCAAGTATCAGACTCATGCTAAATTGACAACAGGAAGATGTGCTGTCTTAATCAGTTCTCGCGATCAGTGGGTATATGTTTTCTGATATTTTACCTGGTGTTTCTTTATTTTTTAAGAGTTCGAACTATGGTTGCAAGTTTAGGTGCATCAGAAGCCTTCACAGCCGATTTTCTTGATGAAAAAGAAAATTGGGCTGTAATTGAGCAAGC